GGATGAGGACAAGAGGCCATGGAACACTCAGGGCCAGGACACAATGGCACAAAACTCACTGGTGCACGATATATGGCCATGACACCCTTGGACCAAGACATGGTGCCATGGTACCCTCAAGACAATGACATGCTGGGATGTCACCCAGCTGTCCCAGCTCCCATGTTGGTGAGGACATCCCCAGCGTAGAGAGGACACTGGAACTGCCCATCCTGCCTGGCTCGCCTATGCTGAAGCACTGTGGTGTGGGGCCAGTGTTGGGACCTGTCACTCCCGTGGGATCAGCAGCAGGAACATGGAATGGCTGGTGCATGTGTGCATGTGTGCAAGACAGGCGGATCCAGGGACTGCATGATGAGCAGAGCTGGCCACTGCAGTGTGTGCATGTAACAGAAAGGGAAAGGGCGTATGATAACCACAGCAAGGACAGCCCATGACGGGAGCTCGTGGGTGCTGCTACGTGTGTATGTACGCAACAGGCAGACATGGTTGCCAGGCCCCATGACACCACCATGTGCAGACGTGGCCTACGGTGAGCGTGAGAGTGGGAAGGAGCGTGACAGGCACAGCCAGAGCACACGCATGTGTCAGATGGGCAACACCAACACCCGCAGGAGGTGTGCATGCGTGCCAGGCGGTGCCAGCGTGTGGGAAACGTGCAGCTGGCCCTGGCTCACAAGTGCAGCAACAGAGTGGCGAGTGTGCGCGAGTGTGACACGGGGGGAGCACTGTCTGTGCCAGCGCTCACCAGCATGTGTGTGTCTGCCCGGGAGACAGACGGCAACGATTCGAATGCAGACAGTGGTGCTGAGCACGTTATCAAGGCTGTGAAGCTGGGAATGGCATCACTGGTCCCCTGCTATACCACCAGCCCCATGCATGGCACATTACTGCATGGCATGGCACAGCACAGCACAGCAGGAGCAAAGTGAGAGCGAGAGGAGCAGCCCAGCTCAGCGGTTTCCGTGGCAAAGGAGAGTGAAAGTGCTGCTGCGTCACTGCAACAGCAAGGCACAGCGCAGCCATGGCAGGGTGGGCTCCGCCTGTGCTGCTCAACCAGACCCTGGTCATCCCCACTGCCACAGCCCTGGGGAGCACTCAGTCTCCTCCTGTGTATGCATACAGAGGGGCTGGCCCACTTTATGCCAGGGCATGTGGGGGTCCTGTCCCTGGGGCTCAGCCCCTGCCAGCATGGCACAGTGGAGCTGTCCAGGCACCAGCCTCTCTGGAGATCCCCCCATACACTGCTCACGGGTGTGGGGTGCCTGCCACAGACTCAACCCCACAAACAGACAAGACACCCGCAAGGTGCTGCCACTGCCATTGGGGCCAGGAGCTGACACCCAGTCCTGTTTCCCAAGCCTTGTGCTTGCCTTCCCATCCTTGCCCCCCTCCTGCCAACCCGGAGGCACAGCAAGAGCTTTGCAAGAAGCTGGGAGCATCAGGAGCTTCACAGGCTGCCAGGGATGGGGGGAGAGGCCACAGGTTTGCTCCTAGCCTGGCTGTGCCAGGCCCTGCCTGGCCAAGGCACACAGACTCGCATGGGGACTGCAGGCAAGCTCTGTCTGTGCCCTGCCTGCACCCTGTCTGTGCTCTGCCTGGGCTGGAGCAGGGCCCCCCACCTCTGCAACAGCAATGCCAGGAAATGGGGACAAGCAGCCCACCGGCACCTTCCCTCCACTGCTGCCCGCCCCTACTCTGCCCCGGCCCTCCCAGTGGCACAGGAGGGTGCTGGGGGCTACGGCGCGGGAGCACAGTGCCGGGGTGGCACAGAAAGGAGCCGGCTGCAGGGACCCTCCTGCCCGTCCCCATTAAACTACATGTCCCAGGATGCATCATATACGGTGGCAGGCTGCCAGGGAGCAAATACTGAGCAGCAAAGGCTTCGCGTGAGCTGGGGTGCCCGCCATGCTGCCCACCGTCCCCTGCCCCAAGGACACTGGAAAGCGGATGCCGAAGGAGCTGGGGTTGGGGGGTTCAGGTGATGGAGGTGCCTTTGCTCCCCAGGCCTCCCAGATCCGCGCTGCCGCTGCCGCAGGAGCCCCCTCCCCAGGCGTGCCCGGCAGGCGATGTGCCGCTTACCATGGCGCAACCCTCCGGCTGGCGCTCAGACCCCCGTCCGCCTGCCGCCCGCCCGCGCGCAGGCGCCTGCCTCCTCCCTGCGCTGGTGGCCGCGGCCCCGCGGCGGCAGCGGGCGCTTCCTGCTCGGCACGGCCGCCCCGGCTCGCTGGCAGAGTCACTTCCTCCGCTCGCACGCTGGCTCCAGGCCGGTGGGTGCGGGCTGTCGTGCAAAGGGGCAGCGACCGCCGCCGCGGAAAACAGGGACGCACTGCTCCACAGCCCGCAGCTGGGAAAGGCTGGGCGCGGGGAACCACTCCCAAATGCCCTCCCGCTGTACCGAGCCTGCACCACGCAGCCCCCACAGGAGCACGGCTGGCCCAGCTCCCACAGTGCGGTGGTGTCGCTCATGCCATGGATGTGCATGCACCAGGCCAGAGGACATCGCACACCCATGGTGCTGGGGACACGCGAGGCGCCGCCACCATTCACAGAGGTGCCTGGTGGCCTCTCTCCCTGTGCCTGCAGGCAGCACAGCCTGGTTCCCAGGGAGGGCACAGCTCAAACAAGCAGACACCATTGCCATCGGGAGGGTGGAGGTATTGTGCCAGGCAGCTGCGCAGGAGCTCCTGGCTGTGAGCAAGGGCACGTTCAAGGTGATGGAGCCTGAAGACAGACCTTGGTGTGCCCGGCTGATGGGATAATGCAGCCCTGGGAAGCCTGGACACCAAACCCAGTGGTGGGACAGGCTGCGGGGACGCTGAGCTGGCACTGTCGGTGAGATGGATGCCGGAGAGCAAAGTCCCCGGCTGTTGGAGGGGAGGGAGCTGCCAGTGCCTCTGTGCCTGTGCCTGGGCCTCACACTGGCTCTGGAAGCGACTATGGCGCACACTCCGCCTGTATCTCACTGCGCCTGTGCCCCAAACACCCCGGTTTGGTGCGGCTGAGGGGGCTCAGGGCAGGAGGAGCTGTCAGAACTGGCTTGGACTCTGATGGGGCAGTCCGGAATAAAGAGGATGGAGGGAGACCTGGGGCAAACCAAAGCAGGGCTACAGTCCCGCACCCTCGTGCTCCCTGCCAGGGGCTGTAGCTGACAGGACAAGCAGAGTCCATCCCATCTCCCTTATGGGAACAAGCTGCGGGTCTCCATCCCCACAGCAGGCCTCATGGCAAGTGTAAAGGGATATGCTTCCCACTGCACCCTGCCAGTCCCCTGCACGCCAGCATCCCCCAGCTCCCCAGCCTGCACTGAGCCTGTGATAGGGGCCCTGCCGTTCCCAGCCCTATTCCAGCCTCCTGCTTGGGGCCGCATCCTGGACACCATGCTGAAAACAATCACAGGGGCTGCGTGGGCTTCCCGGGAGGAAACGGGAAGGCCGGCAATGTGCTCCGGATTAGGCGGCTGCGGGGGCTGGTGGAGGCACGGCTGCGGGGGGCTCAGCCCAATCCCCCAACGGGACGAGGTCCAGGGGGCCACACAGGCATCAGGAGCATGGTGGCATGCACTCCCCTCGGCGCTGCAAGGACGTGGCAGTGACACTGGGGCTAACCATCACTACTGGCCCTGGGGCTGGGGAGGGCCACCCTGCCCAGGACCATGTGCTCCCCACCCCATGTTAGGCCCATGGCTGAGCAGACCACACAGGGGTGCCATGGCCCTTCTCCATCCCCACTCTTGGCAGCTCCTTCCCACCAGCATGGCAGACCCTTGCCCACCATGTGTTCAGGAAACGGGTGTCACCACGCATTTGCCATGGCATCCGGTCAGCCCCAGCTCTCTCCCCAGGCCCTGCCATGCTGCCAATGACAGGAAGATGCGCCGGGTCACAGTGTGATATGGGGAATGTGGGGGGTTACCCTTGGGATGTGACAGGCACCACATCCCCTCACATGACAGCTGTTTGGGACAGGGACACACAGCTCACCCGGCACCACAGCTGTCATGCCTTGGAACAGCACCCACCCAAAACCAGCCTCCCAGCACTCTCACGCCTCCAGCCCTTCAACAGCCACACCAGCCAAACCCAGCGCCCCGTCTCCAGTCCTGCTGCCACTTTCCTACCTGGGTCAGAACCAGATGTTGGATCACCAGGCCTCCAGGGTTCCCTGTGCCCCCGGCACGTCCCAGTGCTGCTGCATGGACACTGCACAGGGGAAGGGGAGGCCAGGACCCACCCCATATCCATGCCCCTCCCAGGCTGCCCCGGCGCCCGTCCCTGTCCCCGAGGAGGGCCTGGCGGCGGGTCTGCCTTCCTGCCCACCCACCCGCTTCCTCCGCACTGGCCAGGCCCTGGGAACAAGCGCTGCCTTTCTCTTGCTCCCCTCCCCTCCGTTGGGCCCCCGCCAAGGACGCTGCTCCACTGGGAGCCCGCCGGGCTGCACAGCCCCATGCTGGCTCTGCCGCCTCACTCACTGCCAGGGCGACACCGGTGGGGACTTGAATGTGGGGTGGAGGCTGGTTGTGCCGCAGAGGGATGATGGGGGACAACCCCAATGCACTGCACCTCCTGGAGAGCATGCTGATACCAGTCCAAACCCACAGGGCCCCTTCCCAAGCTTGGGGAGCTGCCAGGAGGGTAGACACAGGATGCGGCAGAACATGGCTCATGCCCCCTCTACTATGGAGATGGTCCTGGGAGAGTCACTGTGTACATGGCAACATCCACAGACCCACTGGAAGAGGGGGTGTCCCCACTGCTGAACCTGGCTGGAGCCACTGGTCTTGGAGCCACAGCATGGTTTGGCACAGAATGGCATGGCACAGCTCAACATAGCACGGCGTACCACAGGACAGCAAAGTATGGCTCAGCACAGCTCAGAACAGCACAGCTTGGTGTGGCATGGCACGGCTCACGGATACCGTGATACCTGTCCCCAGCCAGACCCTCAGTGTGGGGATCTGGGAGGCCGCAGGAGCAGTGAGCTGGGGTAGCCCTGCTCACCTGGCTGACAGCATCACACCCCGGGCAAAACACGTCCGACACCTGGGAAAACAGAGGGACTGGTTACCACCACCAGGCAGGGCTCCCCCCTCCTCCTCCTCCTGCCTCCCTTCCACCTCCTGCCTGTCCTCTGCACCCCTCAGAGCCCCCTGCGGGACCCAGTGCTGATGGGGGTGCCAGGGCTGATCACCCCATGGACGAGTTAGGAAGGGGAGGCAGCAGCAGCACAGGTCCTTGGTGCCCCAACCCCTTGCCAGTTCCACATTGAGCAACCATGCTCCATCCCCAAGCAGGTCTCACATCCTTGTCTCAGGCTCAGCACCCTCCTGCAACTCATCTGCCAGCTGGGTCCCTGTGAGTAGGGTCCTGTGGACCCTCGGCTCATCCTTAAGGTTCACCCAGGGTCCCCATGCTCGGCACCAGATCCACTGCAGCCACGGGCTGCTCCTGCCAGCACTGGCACCAGCACCGCGGGGCTCTCCAGTGGGTGGGTATTTTTAGCAGTTCACACCCATCTGGGGCTTTCCCCAGCCTCCTGGCAGTGCCCACGGGCCATGGGACTTGCCAGCTCCGGTCACCTGGCAGTGGGAGGTGCCGGCCAGGCTGGCTATGCCATGCATGGGGCAGGTGTGGGGGAGCACGCAGCAAGTGCACACGGGATGGGCACCCGCCATGAACCGGGCAGTTCTGCTGCAGGAGATACCAGGATGTGCCTGGTGTTGTGGCGCTGCCGGCATCCATCCATCTATCCTGCTCCGGACCCGCTGTGCCAGACGGGGCTCCTGGGACCACCAGCTCAGATAGCCAGAGACCTCCTGGTTCCCAGGCTCAGACTGTTCCTGAAGACTTTCCCCATTTGTTCCCGTGCCAGCATTGTTCTTCCACAGAAACGGCTCCCCCCGCCCCAGCACGTACCTCCCGCCCCACTGGATTTACAGCCAGTGTTCAGAGCCCGGCCGCCCTGCTGGCTCCCAGCCCCATGCCCCATCCCCAGGCAACGGTGTCCTGGCTTCCCTGCCCCCCCGCCCCAGGATGGCAGACTGGGACAGGCAGCACAGATCTGGACATGTCCAAGTGCATGATTAACACTTTCTGCAGTTGGAAACTTTTGCAGAAAGATTTTGTAGCCTTCTAGCAGTGAAGGCACCAGAGAGCTCTGCCCTCTGTCCCCTGCCTGAGCCCCGCATGATGTGCCCCTTCTCAGCAGGGCTTCAGCACCAAGAGGAACCTCTGCTCCTCCTCTGAACACCGAAATCATGGTGGCAGCAGCAGCTGGCAGTTTGACATCTGGCCAGCCAAGGGAGGAAGCCACCATGGCTCCCCAGCTGGCACCAGGACACACCACAACTTGGGAGGAACAAGTCATCACCTCTGTGAGCTGCCCCCAGTGCTGGGTGTCCTGTCCCAGTACCCCACCAGAGCCAGCTGCTGCCCAAAGCCCTGAGGAGCCCATCACCCTGCAGCACCCTGTGAGCAATGCAGCGTTCTCCTGCACCTACCCCTCGTCCAGCAGCACCACCAGGGCCCCACGACATGCTCACAGGATGAGCCATTCCAGCTGCTTTGGCACATGGTGGTCTGTGATCCTGGCTGGCTGTGCTAGGGAGCTGGGAGCTCACCAAGCCCTGTGCATTTAGGAGTGGACATCACATGCACAGCAGAGCTGGGCAAGCTGGAGGGGGCTAGGTTCTGTGCACTCACATCTTGTTACTGCAGCTACTTGTGCTTGGCTGGCACTGCAGCCAGAAGAAGGGCTACAAGGGGGGAGCAAGGGGTGCCAGACCCTCTGGCAGGGAGCAAACACATAGTGGTGTTTGCTGAACCAAAGCCACACTGAGTGGAGTGCTGCTGCCACTGGGCACAGGGGGGCTTGCTAGGGGCTGTGGGGAGGGGCAGCACTTGGGGGCTAGGGGGACACATGCTCCCCTCCTGCCACTGCACCGCACTCAGGCTCTCCTCCAGCCGGGAGCCCTGGCACACTGGGAGCCATAGTCTCCCACCAGAGCAGCACCTCCGCCAGTGGAGAGGACACCCTGCTGCCCCCCACTTGGCCCCGCGCCTGGCGCCCGCTGGCTCACCTGGGCATGCTTGCGCTTCCGCCCGGGCCGCCCGGCTTTCCTCATGGGCGTCCCTGGCTCCTTCTCCTCCTTGCTCTGGTTCTCCTCGGGCTCCTCTTCCCCCTGCGAGCCAGAGACAGAGAGGACCGTTACGCCGCCAGCCCCAGGGCCGGGCAGCCCGGGGTCCTGTGCAGGGCTCCACTCCCACTCGGTGCTGGATCGCCAGCACCATGGGTGCACCGCAAAGGATCGTGCATGGCCAATTTGTCTGGCTGGCAAGGAGAGAGCACTGCCAGCATCACCAGGACAGTGGCCTCCAGGGGACCACTACAAGGGCGACTGTGACTCCAAACTTGGGCTGTGGCATGACCTGCCCTGGGGCTGGGCACCTTCACCAGGGGAGCCCTCCTGCACCATGCCCCTGTGCCCACAGCTGGCTCGGGAGCACATGCCTGCTCCTGCAACCCACTGGAGCCCTACACACGTGGGGTTGGGGGCCTCTGCACTGTGGAGCGGGCTGTATGGTCCCCATGGCACAGCACAGGTTGCTGCGCAGCTCCCTGGGGACAAGGGCATGCAGCAGGAGCGAGGGTGCCCTCAGAGCAGGCAGGCAGCTGCCTGCTTCACCACGCCACCCCCAGCTCAGGCGATTCAGGGGACCACGCACCCCTGTTCATGCCCCAGAGCAGCTGCCAGTGCCCCGCCAGCCAGTCCCCCCTTCCTGGTGCCGTGCCCCAGCCTGGGGCGCTGGCAGTGCGCACGCGCCGGGCAGCAAAGCAGGAATGCAGCCCCGGGAAATGAACCTGCTCCCCATGCCGGTGCCGCCGCAGCAGCCGCCCAAGGACCGCGGTGCACAATGGGGCCCTGATTCCCGCTTGGGGGGCCTGTGCCTGGCGCTGCGGCACAGCAGGGGAACATGCATGCAGGGCGAGGGCTGCGCAGGGCCCCCAGCATGTCCTGCGGTGGTGGCAGGGCTAGTTTCACCTGAGCCCCAGAAGATCCCGGCAGCAGCAGCCAAGGCAGGAAGAGGCCACGGAGGGGGGAGCAGGAGAAGGAGGAGAGGCCGGCGGGGGGCTGGCGAGGGAGAGGCCGGGGAGGGGATGGGGCTGGCAGCCAGACAGCACCGACATCCAGCTGCACCCGCACAGCCTTGCAGCCACGGCGGGCGCCAGCTCCAGCCGCATTCCTGCCTGCTGCTGCCCTTCTTCCCCCTGGGCTGCGGTGGTTGCAGACAGCGTTGCCTGCAGCACCGCTGGGCTGCAGCCAGCATATCCGGGATCCGGCCTAAAGGTCCCGTGGGGTCAGGGCACATGGCCATGGCCATGGCCATGGTCAGGACACGGCCACAGTGCCCCATGGCTGCAGCGTGCCATGGCTGTGGTCCCCCTCTGGGTCTCTCACTGCCCACCCACCCAAACCCAGCCTGTACCCTCTGTGCCCCGTGCCACCCATCCTGCCTCATCCAGGGCTGTACATATGGGATTGTGCAGGAGCCATGTGCTGGTTTGTCCCCAGCAGCTATGGCAGCCTATGAGGACCACGCTCATCCCAGCCCCGTTGCCACATGCTGGTTGCCCCCAGCCCCACCCCCAGCACTGACAGTACACATCCCTAGCCCTGCAAGGACCATGCCCACAGGCACAGCATTGTGGGCTGGGAAACCAGGGGCTAGCAAAGAGAGGCGGTACCTCAGCACTGGGGGGGTTCAGCTCTCCACACAGTCCTGGGTGGGAATTTTTGGGACGGGTCCAAGGACGACGTCAGGATCACAGTTCCAGCTCCATCCTGGCGCAGGAGCCAAGCGAGGTCCACAGGGGGGATTCCCAAGGTCCCACAGGCTCACTGTGCATCACCATGCAGCAGAGCCTACAGCCAGGGGGGAGCAGAGCAGAGCCCCCTCGGCTGCAGTTGCCCAGCCCCTCTCCTAACACTGGCAATGCCATGGCAGAGGTGAGCCCCCAACACCCATCCCTTTGCCCCCTGTGCTGCCCCAGCTGCCACTGAATGGTTCCAGCCACCAGTCCCCATTCCATAAGCTGACTTTGGCAAGCCCTGGTGGTGTAAAGGGACGTATGTCTGGGTGTCAAGTGCATGGTGCTGGCACATGGGCAATGCCATATGGCCAGCCCTCCCATAGCCTGGCGAGGATGTGGCTGGGGAGCAGCTGCTGGGTGCCACTGCCACAGGAGGGTCCCTACTGTGGAGACAGGGAGGTGCCCCCAGCATGCACAGGGACAAGGCAAGCTCCCCAGAAGCTGTCCCCACCACTGCAAATGGGGGGTAGTCCCATGGCAGGGCTCAGCACAGTCCTGGCACCACCAAGCTGGGGGACATGGGGCCCAGGGTATCAGTGGGGCTGCAGGGACCCCTTCAGGCACAGCTGGCACCCCAAAAGCAAGGCAGGCACCCAAGGAGCAGAGATGCAGCCTGAGTGCAAGCAGGGCTGGTGCAAAGGGCTGTGAGGGGGATCTGCTCCCCCTGGCCCAGAACAGGGTTGCCTCTGCTGCAGCCCCTCACTGCCAGCAGTCGCTTGGAGCTGAGTCATGTGCCCATATATCACCCGCTCCCCTTCTCCCCACAGCTCAGCCAGGCACGGGGCTGCATGGCACGTCCCTGATGCACTGTGCTCCTGCGCCGCTGCCAAGCAACAATCCAGAGGGAAACCACTGCCGAGGAAAAGAGCTGCTGCATGACGCAGTGCTGGCTCCATGACTGTTGTGCCGGGTCCCTGCTCCTGGCTGCACCAGGCCATCAGCGGGGTGGGAGCAGGGAGCCCTTTCAGCAGGGGGACAGTGCCCCAATGGGGCAGGAGAAGGTGGGTGCAGAGACACTGCCCTTGCACAGAAGCTGCACACCAGCTCGACCCACAGTGCCATGGGTGTTGAGGATGGCCTCGTCCTCCCGGCCCTGCAGACAGCACACATCCTGCATCCCTTCGGCAGAGGTGACCTCCCTGCGTGGCTGCGAGGGAAGCAATGCTGTGTCCCGGTGGGGTCAGGCCAGGACAGCACTCAGCTGGCGCGCTTGTGGTGTGCTCGCTGCCAGCTTGCATGGGTTGCTGGCACCCTAGGGACCAGCACCGGCGGGTCCTGCTTTCGAGGGTGAGCTGGGCTGCACCACAAGCATCAGTTTCTCCTACAGCTCTTCCCCCAGCCCCTGCTGTACCACAGCCCCATGCCCCAGTCTTTGAGCCAGCTCCACCACACACCCATAGAACCTCACCAAAACATGGGGTGGGCTGCCATGTCTGCCTCCCGGCCTGCCCCACCACCTTGCTCACACTCCTGGTGCTGGTGACTCGTACAGGGAAAGCCCAGGACCAACAAACTGACCCCTGGCTCACTTGTCTCCAACAGCTGTGCCAAAAATGCGCTTGGGCACTTCCCAATGGACACACACAGCCCCTCCAGCAGCTAGGAATTATGGCTGGAGGACAGGGAGAACCGGCACGGGACACACGGTGCAGCTGCCACAGCCAAGCCAGCCTGGAGGAACTCAGATGACCCTGACCCCGTGCTGCCCACAGTGGGATGGCATCCAGCTGGCTGCTGGCCCTGCTCCCCACGCCTTGACCCGGGCAAGCCCTGCTCCTGTGCCCTTCTCCTCTCTGTGGGAAGAGTGATGCCTTTACCAGCACTGGGAGATGCTGCACTGACCTGGTGTGGTGGGGATGCTGGAAACACTGGGGATGTCCCAGCTCGTGCTCAGCCCCACTCCATCCTGTGGCAGGCAGGGTGGTTTGGGGTCATCCCTCCCCACAGAGCTGTGCTCCAGCCAGGAAGGCAGGGGAGCACATGCTGGGGATTGGGGTCCATCTGTTGTGGCCACAAGCCTTACACGTGGTGTGGTGATGAGAATGCAAGCATGTACTGCGTGCCATCCAGCACCAGAGGGGTTCCCTCCAAGCCCAGGTTTTGCACATGGGGAGACAGGGGGAGGTGCAGAGACCCCTGAACCCCACAGGAAGTGGGACCCCCATGAGGGGAGCAGGACTGGCACAAAGGCTCCAGCCTGGCAGTGGTGAGGCTATACCCACCCCATGCCCCCCTCCTGCTGCCCTGCAGTCCAGGGCATGCACCCAGCATCCACCCCATCACCACTCAGCCATCAGAGCTGGGGCAGCCCCAATGTGGGGGACACCCCCAGCCCACAGACAGGCTTGCCCCAGCTGTGGCTTCCACTGGTAGGTGACAGCAGGTCTCTGCTTCCCCATCCACTCCCTGCGCTCCCCTACTGCCAAGAATAGCTCAATCCGTGCTAATCCTGGCTGTGGCTCAGGGCTCCCCATGCCCAGCACCACGCTCCCCACCACGTCAAGGGGGGAGCATGACTGGCACACACCAGAGAGAACCCGGCATCCCCTTTTCCTGCATGGCAGCCAGCACTGGTCAAGAGGGAGCCAGACCCCCAGAGCCCACTGCTGCCCTGGCACCGCAGCCAAGGCCAGCAGTGGGATCGGCTGCAGCACAGGCAGAGCCCCCCTGGCAGCCCCCCACCTACTGAGAGCCAGCAGAGCTGCAGGAAGTCCCTACCTTGTGCGTGTCGAGCGCTTCGCGGTTCGGAGTGGGGCTGCTGGCATCGAGGGTCCCGCTGGACGGCATGGTGGGGAGTGAGGGCGGGCGCCTGGGACTGGCACCTCTTCAGCACCAAAGTGGACCCTGCTGCTGCTGCGCTCTGGCTCTCTGCACCGAGGAGGAGGTCCGGGAGCCGCTGCCCACCGCCGCCGCCAGCCCCTGCGTCCCGCCACCTGCCTGGATCCTCCTGCCCCTGAGAGAAGCAGAGAGGGCTGGGGTGAGGGGGCAGCACTGGCCCTGGCACCCTCGCTTGCTGCACTGCGCCCCGGCCCCCGGCAATTATTAACACGCCACAACCTTGACTCAACTGGGCTGGGCCAGGCCCTTGTCCCCAGCATCACCCCTGGCCTGTGCGGGGTGGGGTGTGTGATGCACGATGGTCCCCTATGCGGGGTGCACAGTGCATGTTGTGGTATGCATGGTACAGAATATGGGGTGCAAGTTGCACAGTGTGGGGTGCAGAGTGCAGCGGTGCATGATGCATTCTGCAGGTTGCATGCTGTGGCGTGCATGATGTGGGATTCATTCTGCAGGTTGAATTGGGCAGAGTGTGGGGTGCAGGGTGCGCGGTGCATTCTGCAGGGGTGGGGTGCAGGGTGCAGGTTGTGGGGTGCATTCTGGAGGGGTTGGGGTACGGGGTGCAGGTTGTGGGGTGCATTCTGCAGGGGAGGAGTATAGGGTGCAGGTTGTGGCATGCAGGTTGTAGGGTGCATTCTGCAGGGGTTGGGGTGCAGGGTGCGGGGTGCAGGGGTGGGTGCAGGGTGCAGGCAGGGGCTGCGGAGGAGGCGTCAGCCTCAGCACCTGTTGCTATGGCAAACGCTGCCTGCATTAGCCATGGCCGAGGCTGCTGTTGCCTTTGGCACCGGAGCTGCAATTTGTTTCTAGAGCTTTCCAGTCGCAGCCCGTTCCCAGCGGCGGGGCGGGGGGCTGCCGGGCGGGCAGGGCCGCCGCTCCTAAGAACAGAAACTCAAAACCCGACACGTTCCTCCCGTCCCCACGGCTGCCTGCAGCGGGGGCTGCCTGCAGGGCCGCCTGCGAGGCGGGGGGGGGGGAAAGGGGGGGTAGGGGGGCGGAGCGCCAGCCCTGCAGCAGCACCACTGCTTGCATGGCCCCCCCCCCGGCACTCAGGGTGCTTGGCTGGGGCCCAAGGGTGGCAGCCGCCCCTGCCCCAGCTCTCCCAGCATAGCCCCTCTGGCAGGCAGGGCTGGGGTGGGATGCAGGCAGGGATGGAGGCAGGGGTGCAGGCAGCAGGTGGGATGGTGGTATGAGTTGGGGGGTGCAGGCTGGGAGTGTGAGGTGCAGGTACAGGATGCGGGATAGGGGTGCAGGATGACACCTGGGGGTGCAGAACAGGGATGGGAGATGTGGGGTGGGGATACAGGCTGTGGGTGCTGTGCACAGGGTAACAGTGCAGGGTGTTGGATGAGGATGTGGAGCGCAGGCTACATCCCCTTCATCCCCCCAGGGAGCTCCCTGGGGGGGCCCTGTGCCCTGTCCCCATCCCAGGACACTGTCCTCACAAGCCCTCTATTGCATAGGGCCTGTCACCTGTAGAGTCCCTCTGTCCCCAGCCCAGCACACTTGGTCCCCTACATTGCTGGCTTCTGCCCCACACCACCACCCCAAGCACCGTAATGCACCTTAGGGAGATGCCTGGGGCTGGCACTGAGCACCCACATGCTGCCACTTCAGGCACCTCTCTGGCAGTTTCTGTGCCACCACCACTACAGCACGCTGCTGGGCACAGCATGGCACAGCACAGTGTAGCACCTAGGCTCCATGTCCCTTCCTGCCACCTGCTTCCTTGGGGTACTAGGGGCCCTGCCCATGCCCTCCAGTGCCCCCAGTCCCGCTCCCACCACGCTGTGGCTTGGCAAAGCCCCAGCTGCGGGCACGGGAGGACACCTGCTGCTGGGAAGCACCCGGGGACACCCCGGCTGCACCCAGGCACCTCCGCGGCAGAGGTGTCCCACCCTCCCCGGGCTCCCCTCCCCGTGCCTATTGACACTGAGGGGTGCTGATGTCCATGGTGTCCCCGCTGCCCGAAGGGTCCTGCCTGCACTGCCCTGCCCTGCCCTGCCCTGCAGCACTGCTGCCGCTGCCACTGTTTGCCTGCACGTCCCCACAGCCGCAGAAAATATCTCGGCCGCCCAGAGCCCCCTAAGACAGCCCCACCGCACTGGGGTCCCTCCGGCAGCCCCAGGGTGACGGGTAAGCCCCCCCGCTCCAGCATCCCCAGTGCCTGGTTAGCGCGCGGCCGCGAGCCGCCCCGCTTGGCGCTGCCGAAGGGCCAGCTCGCGGGCTTTGATTCGCTTCCAGCAAACATGGTCTCCAAACGCACTAAAAATAGTTGGGCTGCGTACAAACCCCGCGGCAGCCCCGGGCCGGCCGCCGCCGAACAAAGACAGCAAGAAGTCGGCGGTACCGGCTGCCTCCCGCTCCCCCAGCCCCACCACCGGCACCGTGGGGTGAGCGTGACCATCCCAGGAGGGGACATGCGGGAACCACGGTAGTCCCCGGTCAGCACCAGCGCTGCCCTCCCGCGCTCTTACCCCGCAGCGGCTCGCCTGCCGCGGCGCGATGGGACGGGACGAGGGGCTGCGACACCGTGCCCCCGCGCTAGGCCGCCGACACCCTCCTCCCGCAGCGCCGGGGCATCCCCTCGCCGATGTGGTTGCCTCGGCGGCGGCGGCGATGGCGCGGACAGACCCTCGTCCGGCGCTTGCTTGCTTGTTCGCCGCCGAAGCGCGGGGAGGGACTCGCCGCGTTCCCTCCTGCCTCCCTATTTAACCGCTCAGGCTGACCTTACGGCTGACAGTGAGCGGGGGAACCGGCAGCCCCAACCCGCGCCGTGCCGCTCCCGCACGGCAGGGCCCCGGCGAGTCACGCTCGCCGCGCGGCAGAGGCGTTGCGAAGTAGGTTACCTGCGATGGATGGATGAGACACGCAGCGCTGACAAAAAAAAAAAAAAAAAAAAAAAAATTCCAACCAAAAAACCCCAAACCCGCCTTTTTTTATATTCAGGGACCTTGCCGGCGCCTGCCGTTCCGTGCCGCAGCCGGGAACCTGCAGGAACCTAAACGGCCATTTTAGGTGACAGCGACTGGGGTCCCCGACAGCCCCCCATGCCGGTGGCGGGTGACACCTGCACCGCAGTGTCTCCCCCTCCTGTTCCTGTCCTGATGTGACCCTGCGTGCAGCATCCCCCGGTGCGGTGACACGCATTGGGCTTGGACAGGGTCCCTCGTGCGCCTTTGGGGGTGGGGACGCACGAGGGACCCCGTCCAAACGCCTCTCCCGTGACAAGTGCCGCAGCGTATTATTATTGTTGTTGTCACTTTGAGTCACCGCCACCCCCGGGCAGCCGCGCTCCTCCTCCTCCTCCTTCCCAGCGCCAGGGAAGAACTTCAGAATTGAGTCAGAGGGGACAGGAGCTGCGGCCATGAGTCACCCCCCACCCCCTGAGCCCCCCACCCCTGACTCATGGAGGGGTGCTCCCCCCTACCTTCAGCCCCCCTGCGGCGTGGGTGCTGCTGGCAGGGGCAACCGGGGACAGAGTGGGCGTACCCTGGGTCCCAAAATTGAGCTGAGCAGCGGCAGCTCCCCTGCGATCGCCTCTGACAGATGGTTGCGCCGAAACCACCGTCGCGGGCAAAGCGTTGACCTCATCCCCTGTAATTGTAACTTACGAGCAAAATATCTGGCCATGCTACTTGGGGGTGCACGTGGTGGGCAGGGAAGCGCCTGCCCTCCTGGCCACACATACAGCAGCTCCTGCCCTCGCTGCAGCCACTGGGGAACCGCTGCCAGGTCCTGCAGGTGTTCTGTGGGGATAAGGTGCTGGTGAGTGCCCGGGTGTCCTAAAAACAGACCCAATGCAGAGGAAGGACCCCAGGTTGGTTGGCACCACTGCACCAGTGCCATGCTGCACCCTGGGGAGTAATGCACTGCACAACAGTGCACCTCAGGAAGCAATGCAGTGCCCTTTCCTGCACCCCAGGGAGCGACATAGGGTCCTGCACTGCACCCCAAGGTGCACCCCAGGGACTGACACACTGCCCTGAACTGCACCCCTGGGAGCAACGCATCACCAGAAGCAAACCAAAGCACAGACTGCAGCCCCAAGCAGAGCTGAACCTGCAGAGCAGCAACACCAGAAAGGGCCAGGAGAAGATGAAAGTGCCCGTGAGACAGGACGGGATGGCCACACGCATGGAAGACCCCAGCATCAGGACATGGTGCTGTTCTGCAGGTGGGACAGGAGCTCATGAAGGAGCCACATTTGAGCTCCAGCAGGAATGTCTTGCCATGGAGAGCTGAGGAGCTCGGCGCGCGCAGCTTATCGGCGGGAAAAAACAGACTGAAAGATGATGATGTGATTACGGTGAGCAAGTGCTGCTGCAGGCTGAGCCCTGGGCAGGGCGGAAACCCTCCAGCTGGCAGGGCCGCGGGGCTGGGAGCAGGGTTCCGGCGATTCAGCTGGCAATCAGGGTCGGGCTTTGAACTGGGAATGGCAGTTAACCATGGGAACAGGCCCAACCGGTGCTGGTGGCGCGTTCCCGCGCATGCCGAGCCCTACGCCTCAGCCTGACACCCCTCTGGCCAGGTTCGGTGATTTGCCAGTTCAGATGGTGTCAAAAAGCCAAACCAACCCACAGCCTCGAGAGCAAAGCAGAGAGCAGACAACATCTCCAACCCAGCGAAACCACACACCCAAACACCGCTGGCTCCTCCGGCAGCGCTGGAGCCACCGCAGCACGTGTGCTCCTGGCACACGTGTGTCCTGGGCGCACGCACACGCGTGCTGGCAGTTACCTGGCAAACATACACTCTTCCCCCTCCAGGTGCTGCAGGGAGCCACACCTCGCTGCTGGCCTGGCCTGCCCAAGGTAAACAGCGGTGCAGGCAGAGCCCGTGGGAAGGCATCAGGCAGGGATGTGCAGATGTACAGTCCTAAAAATACTCATTCAAAAACCAGGAGGTTTCAAAAACCTTTGAAAACCCAAGGTCTCCAAGTGGCTGCCCCAGCATGGCACAGCAGCTCTGTGGCAGCACCTGTGTGAAGTGGGGCCAAAGCAGTGGCCACCACTGTATTTCAGGCACGGCTGTCACTTGTGCTCGGCAGCTCAGTGAGCATGGAGATAGCCAGGGGAATGTCTGGGCTGCAGCCTCGCCAGGCAGCAAGCAGCACAGACACCAGCATCCTGCCTTTCCTCGAGAGGCAGCGGGTGCTGCATGTCACGAAAAGAGGCTCCTGCTAAGAAGTTTCGAGCTGACTCAGCACGAAAGGCCAGTGCAGGCGCGGGAGCTGCCGGGAGACAACATCCACTCCCGGTCCCTTGCCTTGGCTGCCCGGCTTCGAGGGGTTTGCTCAGGGCTGGTCCCAGTGTCCCCATCTGGGTGTCCCCGCCGGGGCGGGCGAAGGGCATCTGCTGGCATGGCCAGGCGGGATGCAAGCACCCGCCGTTGCAGCCGGCTCCTGCCAACACGCAATCGGTGCAGCAATGCAAGCACCGAACGCCAATCCCGCGGTGACACCGTCTACGTCACACAAAGGGAAGAAATAAAGAAAGAGGAACTGAGCGAAGAGGAAAATTTCATTTGCCCACAGGTTCGCACACATGAACACACGAGAACGAAGAGGGGAGAGGAAAAATAAAAGCGAGAGGAAAGGGGAAAGCCAGCAGGCAGCCCCGGTGGGGCCGGGGGAGCAGGCAGGCAGCAGGCAGGCAGCGGGGAGGCAGCACGGAGTGCACTGCCAGGCCTCTGCCCGCGCCGCCCCGTCCCTGCCGGGCTTGCGGCGCTTTGCTTCCCGCAGGGGGGGCAGATCGGGGCAAACCCCACAACTTTGGGCAGCCGGACCCTCGGGGCAGCTCTGCCGCTGCTGCGCCTGCTGCTGCCGCCGCTGCCCGGGGGAGGGCAGCGCCGGGCCGGGGGCTGCGGGAAGCGGCCCCTCACCGCGGCGGGGATAGCCCTGGCCGCAGCAGCCCCGCGGGGTCTCGCCGCGGGGGGTCTCTGGTGCCCTGCGATGGGCCGGCCTGGGACACACACCGTCGGCGGTGACACCCCCTTGCAGCCTCGCAGCCCCGAGCGGGCCGGGCCGGGGCCCCGCGCTGCCCTTCAGCCGCCCGGCGCGGCGCTCAAGGACACGGCGGCGCCGCGGGGGCCGGGCCCGCCGGGCCGCGCCGCGCCGAGCCGAGCCGAGCCGAGCCACCCGCCCGCCAAGCGGGGCCGGGCCGGGAGCGGGGGTGCCCGCGGGAACGGGGGGGGGGCGGCGAGGCGGGCCCGGCCCGGCGGGTGGCGGCCCGGCCGCTGCCATGTTTTCCTGCTCTGCGCTGCGCCTCCCGGCCCGACCCCGCCGCAGCCCCCTCCCGCCGCCGCGATGCCCCTGGGGTCGTGGGGTACCGGGAACACGGGGACACACGGCACGGGTCCGGGGCGCGGGTGTCCGCGGGCCGCCCGCCGGGCTGTGCGGGACGGCCCGGAGGGAGCCGAACGGAACCGAGCCGAGGCGAACCGAGCCGAACAGAGGCGAACCGAGCCGAGTCATGCCGGACCGAGCCGAGTCATGCCGAACCGAGCCGAGGCAGGGACTGCTGAGAGTGGGATGTCCCCTCCAGGGGGTCCGCGGGGGCCACCCGTGTCCGCGCCGCCGCGGGGCCGTTACCTGGGCCGGTGCGGGCCCGGCGCGCCGTGCCGAGCCGTGCCGAGCCGTGCCGAGCCGCCGCCGCTGCGCTGCCCGGCGAGGCCTCCTCCCGCAGCGCCGCCGCCTCCACTGCAGCACCGAGCCGCGCCGCCCGCCGCCCGCCCGCCGCGCGGTCCTAGCGCCCGCCGCGTCGCGCTGAGCGCAGTCCAGCCCCGGCGGGCTGGCCCCGGCCCCGGCGGACCAAGCCGAACCGAGCCCGCCCGGGCCGGGACAAAGTAACTGCAGGCAGTGCCGGGCTGGGGTGTGCGGGGATGTGCGGGGCACGGCTGGGCTGGGCCAGTCCGGGCAATGCTGGGCCTTGCTGAGCCCAGCTAACCTGAGCTGTGCTGTGCCGTGCCAAGCCAGACCATGCCAGACCAAGCCAAGCCAAGTGTAGTCAAAGGCTGTAAAGTGTCAAGCCAAGCTGGGCTGGACTGGGCCAAGCACATCCAAGCCAAGTTGGGCTGGGTGATAGAGAGCCAAGTTGAGCTGACCCAGGCTGGGCCAGACTGGGTCAAGCCAATGCCAGCTGTGCCATGCCAAGCCAGACCAAAAAACCCATGCTGGGCCAAGCCAAGCCAAATTGAACCGTGCCATCTCATGCTGGCATAAGGTGGGCTTCCCCAGGCTGAGCCAGGCCCAGCAGTCCTGTGCAACGCTGGGCTCAGCCAGCCCAACAGGCAAGGCCATGCCAAGCCAAGGAGCACTGGGCCATGCCAAGCTGTGCCATGCCATGCCAGGCTGTGCAGCACCAAGCTGGCTAGACCATGCAGTGCCGAGCTATGCATGCCAAGCTGAGCCATGCCATGCAATACCATGCTACAAAGACTGCTGCCAAGCCAAGTGGTTTCATGTTCTATCAGGCCATGCAGGGCCATGCAGTGGTGTGCAGTGTCAACTGGAGCAGGGCCATGCCAAGCAGTGCCATGCACTGCTGTACAGGGTCAAGCCACACAGTACTATGCTGTGCCAAACAGTGCCAAGGAGTCCCAGGCTGTGCCAGGTCAAGCAGGGCTATGCAACACCGTGCCATGCAGAGCAGTGTTGAGGTCACAGCCATGCCAAGCTGACCAGAGCCAAATCCTGCAGCAAAGCACCATACAGTGCAAGTTTGAGCCGTGCCATGTGCCATGGTGTTTACCTGTGCCAAGTTGTGCATTGTCACGCTGAGCCATATCGTGCTAAGCCATGCTGTGTTGAGCTGTGCCAGTGGTTGGGAGCCGTGCCAAGCTACGCAATGCCATGCTAAAGCAAGGCACGCTGGGCAGTGGTGAACTATGCTGTGCCAGCT